TTTGCCTTTCTGAACATTTTCTGTCAGTGCACTCATGCAGTGTGTGGCCTTTGGGGTCTGGCTTGTTTCACTGGGCACCATGTTTTCAAGGTTCATCTAGCTTATAGCAGTTTTCACCATCTCTTTTTTTTCTGATTACTAGTTTGTTATATGATTCTTGTTAATCTGTGTAGCTTTGTTTAAATGCTCCTTTTTTTCCCATGAGCCTAGGGATGCAGCCCATGGCCTCATGCTGGGCTATACCCTATCACTGGGCTATACCCCAGCCATCCATTCTGTTTACTCTTAAAATGAATTGAGAAGTACCATTTCCATTTTGCAGGTGAGGAATATGAGATGGACAGAGCTAAATAACCAGTGCAGGTCTCAGAGCTCCTAGGGGTGGAGCTCTGACGTGTTTCTGTCCCATTAGGGCCTCCTGACTGTAACCAACCCTGTTTCACTCTCCTGGTCCTTAGCACACAATTTGTGACAGCCTTTCACCCTTGCTTTTTTCTCTCCTCTGCTGTTGTAAAGCACTATAATTGGGCAAATATTTGTTGAGAAGTCTCTTAAAAGTCCATTTGGTTGACTCTACTTTTTTTTTTTTTTTTGGTACCAGGGCTACCAGGGATCGAACTCACGGCCTTGTACTTCTGCGGCAAGTGCAGTGTGCCACTGAGCTAAATCCCTGGCCCCGATTGACTCTGTGTTAACATTGACTTATGTGCCTGAGTGTATTTAAAAGCATTAATTAGCCTATAATAATTTGAAATTACTTTAGAAATTACTCTCTTACTATGAAACTTTGACTTTTTTTTTCTTTTTAGTTCTTTCATTGGTACATTTTAGGTATACAATTCGTTTACATTTATTGTTGGGTGTTTGTACCTGTACATGATATATCTTGGTTCTTACTTTTTTCCCCATTACCTGTATGCCCTTCACCCCCACCACCCTTCCCTATTTACATAGATTTCATTTCCATTTTTTTTTTCTTTTCTCATAGTTTTTCCTTTCCCCTTCCCTTCCCTTCACTCCTTCGTCTTTGGACCTTTTTTCCTATTTCAAATTATCAGTTATTCATTTTAATCATTTTAACCCTTGTTTACACTTTCAGTTTCTCACACTAGAGAAACTATTCGGTATTTACACATGTGTGTCCTATTTATTTCACTTGAGTATGGCCTCGATATGCATCCATTTAGCTATAAATGACTCTAGTTTCTCGTTCTTTATGGCTGAGTAGTACTCCATTTTATAAAACAACCACATCTTCTTTATCCAGTTTCCAGTTGATGGGCACTTGGGCTGTTTCCAAGCTTTAGCTATACAAACTGTGCTGCTATAAACATGGGTGCACATATATCGCTGTGGTATGATTCTTTTAATTCTTTGGGGAAGATTCCCAGTAGGGGAATAGCTGGGTCTGACTTTTTTTTAAGACAGGATCTCACAATGTAGTTCAGGCTGGCCTTGGACTCACAACAATACCTCTGCCTCAGCCTCCCAAGTCCTGGCATGCTCTACCACACCCAGTGAAACTTGGTGACTTTTGAAATGGATGAAAGAGGTCTTGCTGGGAACTAGAAAGGACTCCTTTGAAGTAAATGTAATCCATGATGGACTTTGTCATTTGCAAGTTTTTTTGTTGTTGTTTTGGTTTGGTTTTTGAGACAAAGTCTCACTGTCCAGCCCAGGCTGGCCTCAATCCTCCTGCCTCAGCCTCTCAAATGCTGGGATTCTAGGGAAGTGCCACCATACCCAGCTTCATTTGTGTGTTTTGAAAAGCATTTTATTTGAAAGAATTTCAAATCACAAAAAATGCAAAGATCTCCCGTTTATTTTTTACTGATATTTACCAGTGACATTATACCATGTTTGCCTTATCTCTTTCTTTCTTTAATCATACATACATGCAAATATGTGTTGCAGTTTTTATACGTATATAATTTTTTTTTCCCAGACTATTTGAGATTAAGTTGTAGATAAGGTGCTTTACTTCTCCAAAATGTTTCAGTGCATAGTATTTCCGGGCCGGGGATTTAGCTCAGTGGTCCCAGCACCTACCTCGAAAGCGCAAGGTCCCGAGTTTGATCCCAGGTGTCAAAAAAAAAAAAAAAAGAAAAGAAAAGACAGAAGTGTATAGTATTTCCTAAAACAAAGATCCTGGGTCAAAGAACTACTGTATGTCATCAAAATTTACATTGTTCTGGGTGTGATGATGCAGGCATGTAGTCTTAGCTACTTGAGAGGCTGGGGCAGGAGGATTACGATGAGTTTGAGGCCAGCCTGGGTACGTAGTGTGTTCAAGGCCAGCCTGATCTACATAGTATGACCTTGTCTCAACAAAACAAAACAAACTTTATGACAGTATGTCATATGCCAGTATGTACTGCTGTCACATCCTTAGATCCCACTCAGAGTGGCTCAGTAATGTTCTTTATGGCAAAAGATAAAAACAGAAGCTGTTCTGTTTTTCATTCCTTTTTTCTGGTGTATGCTATTGTGCAACATCATGCAGTGTGTTACCTTTTGTGTCTTCTTGCTGGTCTTTAATCTGAATAGTCCTTTGCTCCCTCCATGCCATTCTTTCATGGTTATAACTCCCACTTTTGGTTTTTTTGAGACAGGGTCTTGCGGTATAGGTCAGGCTGGCCTCGAACTCATGGTGATCCTCCTGCCTCAGCCTCATGATTACTGGGATTACAGGCATGAACCACCACACCTGACTGGTTATGACATTTGTAAAGAGTGCAACATAGCAGTTAGTTTGTAAAATGTCACCTACTTTGGATTTGTCCGATACTCCTCATAATTATGTTTAAGTAATGCATTTCTTACAGGAACATCACAGAAATGACACTGCGTTGTTCTTGGTGCATGGTATCAGGAGGCCCACAGTGTCGTATTAATCTGTAACTGTGTTGTGAACTTTCATGAATTGGTTAAGGTAATATTGTTCAGAGTTTTCCACCATGAAGTTCATTAGTGAGTGTGTGTGTGTCCATGTGTCTTGCTGGGAACTAAACTCAGGGAGCCCTGAGCTACACCTGTAATCCCAGGTATTAGGGAGGCTGAGGCAAGAGGATCGAAAGTTCAAGGCCAGCCTGAGTAATTTAGTAAGCCCCTCTCCCTAAAAAGGGTGGGGCGACGGGGGTTGCCTCAGTGGTAGATCTCTTGCCTAGCATGTGTAAGGCCCTGGGTTCAGTCTCTAGTGCCGCTACAAAAAACAAACAAACAAAAACAGAAAACAAGTATATTCTCATTACTGTGTGAACATCACCACCATCCATCCTGGAATGTTTTCATCTTCCCTAATTAAAACTCTATACTTATAAAACATAAACTCTCTGTCTCTATGAATGTCACTACTCTAGGTACCTCATATAAATGGAAATATACAGTATTTGTTCTCTCTTTTTTTGGTACCAGGACCGAACTTGGGACCTTGCGCTTGAAAGGCAGGTGGTGGAACCGCTGAGCTAAATCCCTGGCCCGTCTTATGATTGGCTTATTTCACTTAGCTTTTAAATATCCTTCCACCTTTCAACTTCGTGTTGTTTTGTTTTTGTTTTTGCTACTAGGGATTGATTGAACCCAGGACCTTCTCACTGAGCTACATCCCCAGACCTTTTTCTTATTTTTTATTTTGAGACAGGATCTTGCTAAGTGACTGAGTTACCCACGTTGGCCTTGAACTTGCAGTCTTCCTGCTTCAGCCTCCCAGAGTCTTGGGATTACAGATGTGGGCCACTATGCCTGGGTCACCTTTGTAAAATTTTTTTGGTTTTTGAGGCACGGTCTCACTATGCAGTTCAGGCTGTCCTTGAACTCACTATGTAGCTGAGACTGGCTTTGAATTTACAGTGATCCTCCTGCCTCAGCCTTCAAAGTGCTGGGATTATAGGTGTGCGCCACTGTGCCTGGCTCTGGCTCACCTTTTAGCTCTTATAAGTAATGCTGCTATGAACATGGTATCAAATACCTTTTTAATCTTTCTTTTCAGTTGTTTTGGGTATATACTCAAGTAGAATTTCTGAATCAGGGTGTATCTGTGTGTAAATTTTTGAGGGACGTGAGTTTTAAAAAATTATCTGTCTAGCTTCTGGGTTTCTTGTTTTATTCATGGGTTATAAAGTGTTAATATCACTGTTTATTGTGAGCTACCAGTTGATTCTACTTTGGCCAGTGGGAGGCCTTTCAAGTTGGCTCCTGCAGCCCTTTTGACATGTCCTTTTGGAATGCTTTCTACCATGGCACAGTAAGATGTTCTACGCTCATCTTCTTTTTTTATTGCCACAGTCCTGGAATCAGCCATTTCGCCGGAGAAGTGCGGTTCCTCTTATTGCAGAAAGGTAGTTAGAGACTAGAAAAGGGTGTTGATTGCACTGATTGCTACTGGGGTGTCATTGCTCCCAAGCTTTTGCAGAAGAGAGCTAGGAAGTATATGCATGCATACAGAGGATGCGTTCTGTCTGTCTCTCTTGTGCTGGGGATTGAACCCGGGCCTCACACATGCTAAGCATATGTTCCGACACTGAGCTACACGCCTAACCCCCTTTCAGTCTCTCAATGGCCCCTCCCGAAGATTACAGTGATAGATTCAATTTCAGTTGAATGCTTACTCTAGCTTCCTCTGATCCGTCATGAGAAGACCCTGGTGCCTTCTGTAGTTTTACTTAGTAAGTAGCTTATGTTTTGCTTGCTTTACAGTCTCCTTCCACGTGCCCAGTGTCATGACCTCACAGACTGCCTTTGGGCCTCGCCCCACCCGTGCGGTGTGTGAATAGCCCCGGCCCCTGTCCCACTGACTTTGGCTCTGTCCCCCTCCTGCCTTAGCAGCACCCTAGACCCCTCCCGTGAAAAGGTGGGGAAGGGGGCACCCCTACAGAGGAGGGAGGAGGACAAGAAAGGCCTTGTCCTCAGCCCCTCCGTGCCTAGCCCCCAGCTCTTGTGGCCTGGAGAGATGCGTTGCCAGAGTCCTTTGTTTCTCATTGCTCTTGCTCTTTCTTTTAAAGATGGTTTCACCCAAACATCACTGGAGTGGAGGCAGAAAATCTACTGTTGACCAGAGGAGTTGATGGCAGTTTTTTGGCGAGGCCCAGTAAAAGTAACCCCGGAGACTTCACACTTTCAGTTAGGTAAGTTGGAAATGAAGGAGAGAGGAGGGAACCCCAGAGGGCCCCAGGTAGGAAAGAGTGAAGCCACAGTTGGCCAACCTCCTGCCCTTGCTGGGAGCTGCCCAGTGTGGGCCTTGTGGTGCCTGGCCCGCGCATGGGCCTCGTGCAGTCTCCCACAGTGAGAGGCTTGGGACATTGGCACTCTTCTGGCTGGCACCCTTCACCTGGGTGGAACTGGGCATGAGTTGCCTGGATCGTACATGACCTGGGGCCCTCCGGTGCTGGTCCTGGATCCATACATCTTGAACCAAGTTCCTGCATTTTTCCTTTCCCTGCTGTTGATTTCTTCATGGGAAAAAGACTTTGTAAGGGTCACTTTCCTTTGTCAAGAAATAAAACATGACTGAGGAAGTTGTGGTCCCCTTTGTTCCCCTGCCCAGTCCCATTTCCCTCCCTCTCTCCCCAGAGGAAACCACCATCCCAAAGTTGGCATAGGTCCTTCCTGAACATGTTTTTTTACGTGACTGTGTTTGTACACTGTAGTTGGCTTGCGTGCTTTTAAAGTTCACATAAATGGTTCTGTAATGTGTGTAACATTTTACAACTTAAAACATTATTTGAGTCCTGTGCTTTACAGATACATATGACTGTTCATCTTAGAAACTATTTAGTAGTCAAGTGGCATGAACATTCCAGTTTATCTTTTGGTGATGGACGTTGGGTTGTTTTTAATTTTTATGAACAGTGTAGTGAACATCCTGTTATATATTTCTTTGGGCAGATGTTTGGAGGGTTTTTGTAGAAGTTGATTTCCTGTTATATACTCACTTTCCTTATACTAGCTCATTCTACAAGCTAGCACCGAACTGGTTTATGAATTGACTTTTAAAATCATTGTTTTAAAGTAAAGAGATAAGTAAGACATGTTCTCGGGAATTTATGTAAGGCTCTTTGAGACTCAGGAAGTCCCTTTTGGCATAGATTAGTTTTTTGAGAAGTCCCTGTCATTGGCTTTTACTTCCGTTTTACTATAAGGAGTGGGTAGCCGTTGTCACAAGTCCTCTGGGCTTCTAACCTAACATGGTGAAATTCTCACTCCGGGTGTGAGTAGAGATTATAGAATAGATGATGACAAGAGCAAATGTTGCTGAGGACTGAGTATATCGACATTGTGAACTCTACACATCTTATTTTATTTAATAAGTACCACTGTTAACAGGGCAGGAAGCTGAGGCACAGAGATTAAATTGGTAAACTAGTCTCATAGTTGGTAAGCAGCAGAGCCAGGACCATGGGACTAGCTTTTCTTTATTTTTTTTCTCCTTTTTTTCCCCTATTTTGAGAAATTTCAGAGAAAAGTTGAAGGATGGATACAGTAAATACCCATAATCTCTTCAGTTGTTAACATTTTGCCATGTTTGCTTTTTCTCTTTTTCATTGTGTGTTTATGTGTGTCATACACATTTTTTTGCCAGACATGGTGGTACATACCTGTTATCCTAGCACTCAGGAGGTGGAGGCACAAGGATCAGCCTGAACCACATGAGGCCTATCTCAAAAAAATACCACAACTATGTACATATATAGTATATGCATTTTTCCCCAAACCATTTGAAAAGAAATAGCAAATAACAATGACATTTATTTTTACCTCTAAGTACTTAAGTGTGTGTCTCCTATGAGCAAGGATATTCTGTATAACCACACAATATATTATTATATATGAGATTTTACTTTGTTATTTAGTGGTGCTAGGGAGTGAAAGGAGATTTTAAAAATATTGATTAGATAGTATTATATATAATAGATAATCCATATTAAAATTTCCCTTATTAGCTGGAGATGGTGGTGCATGCTTGTATTCCCAGTACCCTGGGAAGCTGAGGCAGGAGAATTGCAAGTTCGAGTCCAGCCTGGGTAACTTAGTGAGACCTTGTGGCTGAGTGCAAAGGCTCTGAATTCCATCCCCACTAATAAAATAAAAAATATTCCTCATTGGGCCAGGGATTTAGCTCAGTGGTTCCACTACCTGCCTCGCAAGTGCAAGGTCCCAAGTTTGATACCCAGTACCAAAAAAAAATTCCTCATTATTTTAACGGTGTTTTTTTACATCTTTACTTTTAATATATTTACTTACTTTTGGAGTGCTGGGGTTGAAACCAGAGCCTCACTTGCTAGGCAAGCACTCTACCACTAAACTATATCCCTAGCCCAAAATTTGTGGGGCTTTTTTCAAGTCTTTTTGAGACAAGGTTTTTCTGTGTAACTCAGCCTGGCCTTGAACTTGATATATCTCAGCATGGCCTTGAACTTGTGATGCTTCTGCCTCAGCCTTCTGAGTCTGGCTCCTTGCCCCACATTTTCATATGTTTAATCAACACATATATAACTGCACATATTTATGGGGACTAAAACTCCAAACTCAACCAGGTGTGGTGGTGCATATAGGTAATTTTAGCACTTTGGAAACTGAGGCAGGAGGAACATGGGTTGAAAGCCACCCTGGGTCCATCGTGAGCTCAAGACCAGCCTGGACTACATAGGGAGACCCTGTCTCAAAATATAGAAAAAAAAGGGGCCGAGAATTTAGCTCAGTGACATTTCACCTGCCTCACAAGTGCAATATCCTGAGTTTGATCTCCAGTACCAAAATTAAAAAACCAAACCAAAACAAAAAGCCAGAAAAAAACCCTAAACCCAACCAAATAAAAACCCTTCAGATGCCTAGAAAGCCAGCTAAAGAAGATCATTCAGTGCATTTAATTTTTATGTTTCTACTCTCCTTTAATCTTAGAACAGCCCCCTCCCATGGCCTTTTTAACTTAAGTTTTAGTTTTTGGATTTTGGGCATTGCTATTTAGGCGTTATTTCATAGTTTGTCCCCAAACTAGATTTGCTGGTTGTTTCTTCATTTTTAGATTAAAAAAAATTTTTTTTAAACCAGTTGTAAACTATGGTTTATTTTAAAGGAAGAAGCTAAAACAGGAAAGAGAAATCTTTATACTTACATATTCACAAAGGAGAACATTTTATGTTTAAAATACTTTTGCATTCGTAGTATCTTTGCCCAACTAATTTCTATTTTGGACTTCACTAGAATTACATTTTACTCATTTGTCTAGAACACTGAGAATAAGATGTAGTCTTCAGTTTTAAGCAGAAGATTTAAATATTTTTGACAAGCATAGTACATCGTCGAGGTTGGCCATCTCATTGTTTTACATCAGAAGCCACTTAAAATGTGTTTGCCCTATCCTTTGGTCATATTCAGTTTACTCCCTTGGTAAAGGTGTTGCTGAATTTTTGCATTTATGAAGTTATAGTTTTCTTTTTGTAATTAATAAGTGAGAAGATAGTTTATAAAGTGTAAATTTCTTTTTCCCTAACATGTTTTTATGCAGTATTTTTTGCATTTGTTGGTGAATTTTACCTGAGTAAAAATTATCTTGGCAATTGGAAATTTACTAATTGTTCTTTCTTTTCTTTTTTTTTTTTTTTTTGGTTTTTTTGAGACAGGGTCTCACTATGTAGTTCAGGCTGGCCTTGAACCCACTATGTATGTAGTCCAAGCTGGCCTCAAATTCACAGTGATCATCTTGCCTTACCCCTCCAACCCTCAGTGCTGGGATTATAGGCATGTGCCACCACGCCCAGCTTCTAATTGCTATTTCTTCTACATTTATTAACATTCATCTGTAAAGAGATGCTCTAACCAGTCCCTGTTCCTTCTAATCACCCCCTTTTCCCCCTAATCACCCCCTTTTCCCCTAAGCTGGAGTCTGAATCCAGGGCTTTATGCATGCTGGACCAGTGCTGTATGTACCCCTGAGCTACACTCCCAGCCCTATCCCCTTTTTTGAGTATTAATATAGATGGCTTTTTCTCTTCTTTTTATCAGATGTGTTTATCAGATTCATTGCCATCATTATTCTTTTTGATCAAATTGCCCCAGATTTGGTGAGTGTGATGCCTTTAGTTTTTTGACATTTCTCTAGTAGTCTTTGAACACTTCCTTGTTGTCTGACTGTATGAGACGATTCAGATGAGTCTTAGAGTTTTTCTTTTCCAGGCTGGGAGTCCCCCATTTCTCTAGAAGGGCCCTTGACTCTTCTAGTGGGGTATGGTATTCAGAAATCAAGGTCTAGGTGCGAGGTGTGTTTATTCTCCCAGCTGTCTTTGCTTCTAGGCTCCTACAGTGAGTGGACAGAGCTGGGAAATAAATATTTATGTATTTAAAACCAAGTGTTCTTACTGATAGTTCTAGTTCAATCCAGCTTCCTCTTCTTCTCCCATTACACATTTGTACTTCCTGTGTCCAGGAGAGCTGTTGTTTTCAACAGCATCAATGTGTGACCTCATTTGCTCAGTCCTAAAATTAAAACTTTTAGAATTACTATAGTACTGTCTTTTCTTTTCTTTTTTTTTTTTTGGTACCGGGGATCAAACTTGGTACCTTGTGCTTGCAAGTCAGGTTCCGGAACCACTGAGCTAAATCCCCAGCCCCTGGTCTTTTCTAATTATAAACCTACTGTATAAAGTTTAAGATTTCTTTAGAATCTTAATCATAGAGTAAGGGTATAGTATTTGTACTGTCTTCAAAAGTTACCAGAATTCATTTTTTGGATAGGTATGAAGTTACACAGTTTCATTTCTTTTCATTTATATTCAGGGTTTTTTTTGTCTTTATTGATTTAATTTTTATTTATTGAGCACATGAAACATGTATAGGATTTAAAATTCAAAACTGGCTGAGCATGGTGGCAGATAGCTGTAATCCCAGCACTCAGGAGGCTGAAGGGGGAAAATCACCGCCCTGGGCTACATAGTGAGTTCAAGGTCAGTTTGAACTACATAGTGAGAGGCCCTCTTTCAAAAAAAAAAAAAGATCAAAATTCAAAACTGTACTAAAAGGCATAGTCTGAGAAATCTCATTCTTTTTTTTTGGTACCAGGGATCTCTTATCCTTACTCCTTGCACAATATCTCCACTCCTAGAGACATTAATTTCTACTAATTTTTTGTTTATCTTTTTTTTGGTTTGTTTTTGGAGACAGGATCTCACTATGTAGTTCAAGGCAATCCTCCTGCATCAGCCTCCCAAGAGCTGGGATTACAGGGATGCATCACCACTCCTGGCCCTTGTATTTCTTTTTGTTTAAAAAAAAAGCAAATTTGTATTTTTCTTACTATTTTTCCTCTGATTGTGACTGTATTTAAATTTATTTTTTTCTGATACACAAAAAACAAAAATTATACATACTACTGGGGTACCATGTGATGTTTATTTTCCTTTTATTTTTGTATTTGAAATAGAATACTAGATATATTTCTTTCCTTGGAGTTGAGCACACATGCACATAGAGTCGGACCCTTGTGGGTCTCTCCAGCAGGGTGTGAAGCTTCCTGGATTTTCACAGCTCCACTAATTGAGCACTCTCAAGCTTTTCATTTTATCCCATCAAATGAGAAATGGTATCGCAAGTGAATTTTAATATTCAGTTATTATTGAAGTTCTAAGTTTTCAATTCTAAGGCCATTTGTACATCTTTTCTGTGAACTGTCTTAGAACCAATGCTTTTTGTTGTTGTTTTTCTTTTTTGCGGGGGGTATTGGCAGTTGCACTCAGGACCTTGTTCTTGCAAGGCAGGTGCAGTGCCACTGAGCTAATCCCCAGCCCCCCCAGTTGTTTTTTTTTTTTTCATACTGGGGATTGAACTCGGGACCTTGTGCTTGGTAGGCGGGCGCCGGAACCACTGAGCTAAATCCCCAGCCCTGTTTTTTTTAATGGTGTTGGAGAGCAAACCCAGGGCCCCACACATGCTAGGCAAGTGCTCTGCCACTGAGCCACAACTCCCAGCTCCAGAACCAGTGCTTTAACAGCTCTCTAAACATTGCCTCTAAGTGTTTTCTTTTTCTTTGTCCAGTGCTGGGGAATCGAACCTAGGGCCTCATTCATGCTAGACATGTGTTCTACCACTGAGCTACAGCTCTAGCCCATCTGCTTCACTCTTTATTATATTCTTTTTTTTTTTTTAAATTTTTGTGGTACCGGGGATTGAACTCAAGAACTTGTACTTGCGAGGCAGGTGTGGTGCCGCTGAGCTAAATCTCTGCCTCTATATTCTTTTACATACATAAATAAAATACAGGTGAAGTAGTACTTATTTGAAATGCTTGAGACCAGAAGTATTCCAGACTGCAGATGAGTTTTGATTTTGGAATATTTGCATATACATAATGAGATATCTTAGGGATGTGACCCAAGTCTAAACATGAAATTCATTTATGTTTCACATTCGCCCATGCAGGTAACCGGAAGGTAGTTTCATACAGTATTTTTGGTGCACCGGTGTTTTGACTGACCTGTCACATGAGATCAGATGTGTTTTCCCCTTGTGGCAACATGTTGATGCCCAGAAAGCTTTGGGGTTCGGAGAGTTTTCAGATTAAGGGTGCTCAGCCTGATGCAGTACAGGCGCTGTTGTATACATGTAGGTGTGTGCCCGTGTATGCATATGTGGTGTATACATTCATTGTTTGATCTCTCTGCAGGTGATGTAAGCTTTTTGCTATGCTGCAGAATTGAAGATTATGTTGTCTTATATTCAGCTGGCCAAGGGGAATCCCCCCTTTTTAAATTTTGATAGAAAAATACAGAAAGATGTAGAACATTATGTTACAATCACTCATATTTATTGCCAGTCTTTTTTTTTTTTTTCCTTCAAAATAAAGTAAAATTTCTTTTTAGCTATCACTATTGATTCTGGTCTCCTGTTTTCCTTAGAAGTAATTACTATCATGGATTTGGTATATGTCTCCCTAAAAAAAAGAACCAGGCATGGTGGTGTACACTTGTAATCCTAGCACTCTGGAAGGCAGAAGCTGGAGCATTGCAAGTGGAGTCCAGCCTGGACAACGTAGTGACTTAGGAAGATCCTTTCTCAAAATAAAAAATAGGAGGAGTGGGAATGTAGCTGACTGTGAAGGCCCTGAGTTTTTTCCCTAGTAGTGCGCGCGCGCACACACACACACACACACACACACACACGCACACACGCTCACACACATACTGTGCATGTATGTGTGTATCATGAATAATATATAGTATTACTTTTGTGCTCCTAAAATATCACATATGGTATATATGTCATATAATTCTGCATTGTGGCTTTATTTGTACAATATCATGTTTTTGATATCCACCGAGGTTGCTATATATTGATCTAATCCATACTTGAAATATCTGTTTTTGTGTTGTCATTAAGTAAAGGCTAAAAAAGGAAGCACAGGTATTAAAATAATGTCATATGTAGCTGGAGGAGCATGTGACTTCAAGTATTCTTTTTACCCACTGGAAAAAATTGTCACCAAAAATTAGAATTAGATATGTTAGTGATGTTTTGGGACACTTTTTTTTGGTACTGGGGATTGAACTCGGGATCTTGCGCTTGCAAGGCAGGCGCCAGAACCACTGAGCTAAATCCCTGGCCCATGGAACACTCTTTTTGTCCTTAGTTTGCATTTTCCTTTCTCTTTGATAGAAATGTATCTTTATTTTCTAGAGGCTTCATTAATGTTACAGAGTCAGACTAAAAATAAATAAATGACTAAGGATATAGCTTGGTGGTAGAACAGGAGGCCCTGGGTTCGATCCACAGTACTAAAAGAAAAATAATAAAAAGTGGAGGTGGGGGCTGGGGGCTGGGGACTGGCAGTGTAGTGTAGCGCAGTGGTAGAGTGCTTGCCTGGCATGTGCAAAGTCCTGGGTTCAGTTTGGAGCAGCAGCAGCACCACCATCACCAAACAGAAAAGAAAAGAAACGAATGTCAGTGGTTACCATGGTTACCTTAAGGTAGTAATAGGTGTTCTTGAGATATATATTTATTTATTTATTTCAGAAAACCGAGCAGAAATCATAATCAGACTGCCCTGGCTAACTAAAATACCAAGTCTTAGAAACTTTTGGCCACTGTTACATCAGCTCAGGGGATGACACATTTACCATCTCGTGTTGGAAACTCTTGTCAGTTATATGTATCTTTAAAGCAATTGTTTTCCTTTTTTATTTTGCATTTGCATGTCATGCTGAGGATTGAATCCAAGGCCTGTCTTATATATACCAAGCACATACTCTACCACTGAGCTATAAAGGTATATGTAGCATCTTATGTGTATTGTGAGATGAGTTTTTACAAACATGCTTATGCAGCCAACACCCCAGTCAGAAACATTCCATCATTCTAAAAAGTTTCTTTAGGGGCCAGGGATTTAGCTCAGTGGTTCCACCGCCTGCTTCGAAGGTGCAAGGTCCTGAGTTCAATCCCCGGAACCAAAAAAAAAAAAGTTTCTTTGTGCCCTTTCCAGTTTTCCTCCCAACAAGAGGCAACTACTAGTCTCATTTCTATCCCAGTAGACTAGTTTTACTTATGCAGTTTCATATAATTGAAGTCATACAGGATATTACCACCCTCGCCTCCAGGGTGTGACCTAGGGTATCACTCATGTGGGGAACTCTACCACTGGGCTATACCCCCAGCCCAATGTAATGCTTTGGAGATTCATTCATTTTCCAGTGGTTCTCTCTCTCTCCCTCTCCCTCTCTCTCTCTCTCTCTCTCTCTCTCTCTCTCTCTCTCTCTCTCTCTCTCTCTCTCGTTGCTTTTGCTTTGTGGTATTCCATTGTATCAGCATGCCATTATTTGTTTATGCATTTTTTGATAAGTATTTGAATTTTCAGTTTTTTGAAACTGTTGTGTCTGCAATGAATACTCTTGTACAAGTCTTTTGATGTCTTCCATTTCATTCCTTTTGGGGAAAATACTTAGGAGTAGATTTGCTGGATTATAAGGTAGGTATGTATTGTCACTTAGTATATACATTTAAATAGTTCAGTCCTTCAAAATACCAGATGTGCAAGGTACAGACAATAAGAAAGCCCTTTGGTTGAGATGGTTGACTGTGGGTTATTTCACCCTCATTGTATTTGGTACAGGGTTGGGGTAAATTTGTACCTTGGGTTTCAACTTCTAGGTAAACTCTGATACTGAACATGAGAGCCATTTTTACTGGTATGCTTCTTTGTTTTTTCCTCCCTCTTTGCAACGGACTATTTTAGAAGAAATGGAGCTGTCACCCACATCAAGATTCAGAACACGGGTGACTACTATGATCTGTACGGAGGGGAGAAGTTTGCCACTTTGGCTGAGCTGGTCCAGTATTACATGGAACATCATGGGCAGCTGAAAGAGAAGAATGGAGATGTTATCGAGCTCAAATATCCACTGAACTGTGCAGATCCTACCTCTGAAAGGTCAGTGGCTTCTTCGTGACCACAGTCTGCAGCTCTTCCAGGGCCTGTGTGTTATCCAAATATGGCGAGGCTGGACTGTGGGGTGTAAAATACTCCAAAGACTTTCATTTTTAAAGTATTATTAAAGGGGCCGGGGATTTAGCTCGGTGGTTTTGCGGCCTGCTGCGCAAGCGCAAGGACCCGAGTTCGATCCCTGGTACCAAAAAAAGTATTATTAAAGTAAGCAGCTGGGGATGGTGGTGCACGCCTGTAATCCCAGTGCACAGGTGGCTGAGGCAAGAGGATTGCTGCAAGTTGAAGGCCAGCCTGGGCTACATAGCAAGAACCCTGTTGAAAAAAAAAAGAGTAAGAATAATAGGATTAAAATTTTTTCATCCTTACAAAAGCTTCAGTTAGTGGTTTTTTTTTTTTTTTTCCGGTACTGAAGATCAAACTCAGGACCTTGTGCTTGCCAGGCAGGTGCGGTGCCACTGAGCTACGTCCCTGGTCCCAGTAGTGTTACTTACACTCATTCTATAGGGGTCCCATACTATTCATGTGCATACTCAGTAAATGCAGTAATTTTAAGATTTATTGAACTTCAGATAATCTTTGGGAGTTATTAAAGGAAAACAAAACATAATGGTGATGCTAAAGTAGCTTGCTGGGTGTGGTGGTGCGTGACTGTAACCCTAGGACTTGGAAAACTGAGGCAGGAGGATCACAAGTTGGAGGCCAGCATGGACTACATCGTGCAGTCCTGTCTCAAAAAAAAAGCCCCCCCCCCAAAAACAAAGCAACAATACAAAACAAATAAACCAAAACACCAGCAGTTCTCTGTGGTGGCTCCTGACCCGTTGTTCAGCAGTGCCACCAACAGATGTCAGTTTAAACCCAGAAACAGAAAGCAAAGAACTCAGGGGCAGTGGCTCTATCTGTTCCTGTAGCGATACATCCACAAATGTGTGAGGGTGACCTTGCTGCCAGGCAACTGTATTCATGTAGAGATCTTTTCCTGAGTGCTGGAACTAAGCTGATGAAGGCTGGGGCTTGGTTTATTTGTATTGATTGCACTAGTTTACTAATTCCCAGCCTCCTTTCTGACCCAGTAGAAATCCCGGGTCTCTTAATTAGCTTTGTGTCTTCAGGTTATTCCAGCTTTATGTCATTGCTATTATGTGCTCATAATTTACTTCTTCAGCTCCCACTATAGATCCAAGCAAAGGCTGTCAGCCATTTCTGAAGTTTATTTCCACATCTTACTCTTTTCTGTTGTGTGCGGATGAAAATAACTGGGCCTAGGGCTGGGGATTTAGCTCAGTGGTTCTGCCGCCTGCCTCGCAAGCACAAGGACCCGAGTTCAATCCCTGGTACCAACAAAAAAAAAAGAAAATAACTGGGTCTGTTCCATTAGGGTTGAGCCATTGGCCCATAGTTGATAGCTTGTACTAACTTAGCACCAGACCGAGGGAAAGAGCCATGTCATTAATGTGACTCTGTGAAGGTGTTTTCCATGATAATTTAGAGCATACTGTTTCACAGTCTGTCTTTGAATGATCTTGGAAGGGGTCTGTTAGGAAGTCCTGCTGGTTTAATAGTGCAGGTTCTGGGGCAACATTCAGACTTCTGTGTGTTGCTGTCTCTGGTAGTGAGGCATAGGGATTTTTAGCAAAGTCCTTCACCCCAACTCCAAGCCTTATGTGCAGTAAGCTTTGAGATGATGGCCCAGTGTATTGTCTAAAGACATCAGTAGCATATTTGGAGACCATTGAAGTATAGGTTGGAAATTTGGAAAAATTTGGAATTCTTGAATTAATTTATAATGATCTTTTTGTGGCAAAACCCATAAACATCAAATTTATCATTTTAGCCATTTTTAAGTGTAAACTTCAGTAGCGTCATGTATATGCACATTGTTGTGAAGCAGATCTTCAGAACTTTTTTTTCCCTATTATTTTTTATTTTGTTCTTTATTTTTATTTTGGGTTTCTCATATAAGAGGAGCCATGTGATATTTAAGCTTGTGCGTCTGATTTATTTCACTTAACATTATGGGTTCAAGGTGCACCAATTTTCCTACCAATGACTCAAGCTTATACTTCTTTACAGCAGAGTAGTACTCCATCGTGTGTAAGTACCACATTTTCTTTTCTTTCTTTTTTTTTTTTTTTTTTTGATACCGGGGATTGAACTCTGGTCCTTGCGCTTGTGAAGCAGGCGGCGGAACCACTGAGCTAAATCCCCGGCCCAGTACCAATTTGCTTTATCTTGTCATCTGATGATGGACAGATAGGGTGGTTCCAAGATTTAGCTATTGTGAATTGTACTTCTGTAAACATGGATATGTGTGTATCACTGTGAAATGAGGCCTGTAACTCTTATGAAAGGATACCTAGAAGGGAAGTAGCTGGGTCAAATGGAATTTCTGCATTTAGTTTTTTGAGGACCTTCATACTGATTTCCATAATGATTGTACTAGTTTACATTCCCACCAATGAAGAAGCTTTCCTTTCTCCCCTGCAGCCTTGCCAGCATTTGTCGTTATCTGATTTCTTGATGACAGCCATTCTTTCTGGAGTAAGATGGGATTTCATGTTCTTTTTTTTTTTTTTTTGGTACTGGGGATTGAACTCAGGTCCTTGCGCTTGCGCAGCAGGTGGTGAAACCACTGAGCTCAATCCCTGGCCCTCATGTTCTTTTAATTTGCATTTCTCTAATGGCCAGAGGTGTTGAACTGTTTTTCTTTTTCTTTTTTCTTTTTTTTTTTTTTTGCCATTTGTACTTCTGAGAAATACCATTTCATTTGGGTTGCCCATTTTTTGATTGGGTCTTTTATTTGTCGGGGAGATCTAATTTTTTTGGTTTTCTTTATTTATTCTAGATATTAGTCTTGTGTCCCAGGAATAGCTGGGAAAAGTTTTACCCCATTCTGTAGGTTGTCTCTTTACTCTATTGGTTGTTTCCTTTGCTGTGCGGCTTTTTAATTTGAAGTAATCCCATTTGTTGACTTTTGGGGTTATCTCTTGTGCAGTGGGGTTCTGTTGAGAAAGTCCTTGCCTATGGCGATGTCTTTAAGAGTTTTAGCTAGTTATCTTTCAGCACATTCAGTGTTTCTATTTTGACATGTAGTCTTTGATCCATTTTGATTGTACTTTAGTACATGGTGATGTGTATGGGTCTAGACTGAATGTTTGGCATGTGGATAGCCAATTTTCCCAGCACCATTTATTAGAGAGGCTCCTCCAGTGTTAAGTTTTTGGTTCCTTTATAAAAAAAAGATCAGGTAGCCGAATATGCTTGGAGTTGTTTCTGCATCCTTTATTCTGTTCCACTGATACACATGTCTGGTTTTTTTTGCCAATAACATGCTGTTTTTATGTTATTTATTATTTTCTTTCTTTTTTTTTTGATACCAGAGATCAAACTTGGGACCTTGTGCTTGCGAGGCAGGCGGTGGAACCACTGAGCTAAATCCCCAGCCCTGTTTATGGTTTTCTTTTGAGACAGAGTCTGGCTGTGTAGTTCAAGCTGGTCTTCAACTCACTGTGTAGCTCAGGCTGGCCTCAAACTCCTGGTGATCGTCCTGCCTTAGCCTCCCAAGTGCTGGGATTACAGGCATGCTCTACCATGCTATTTTTATCACTACAGCTTTGTAGTATAAATTGAAGTCTGGAATTGTGATTCTTCCTGTCTTGCTTTTGTTACCCAGGCTTCCTTTTGCTATTCTAGGTGTCTTTTGGTTCTATATGAATTTTGGGATTGTTTTCTCTAGTTCTGTGAGGAAGGCTATTGGTATTTTCATTGAGCTTGCATTAAATCTGTATATCAGTTTTGGAAATATGGCTGTTTTGACTATATTGCTTCTGGCTCTCCAGGAACAGGGGACATCTTTCTGTTCTGATGGCCTCTTTAATCTCCTTTCTCAGAGTACTGTAGTTTTCATTGTAAAGATCTTTTACTTCATTGGTTAGGTTAATTCCTAGGTATTTAATTATTCTTGAAGCTGTTGTAAAAGATACTGCTTTTCTAATGTCTTTCTTGGTGCGTTTATTATTGGTGTACAGGAACACTATTGATTTTTGAGGGTTGACTTTGTATCCTGCTATACTGGTGAATTTGGTTATTAATTGTAGGAGTATTTTGGTGGAACTTTTTGGGTTTTCTATGTAGAAGGTCATGTCATCTGCAAATAATGATAATTTGACTTCTTCCTTTTGTATACCCTTTTAATTTTTTTCTCTTGCCTAATTATTCTAGCTAATGTTTTGAGAACTAAATTGAACAGTACTAGTGATGTTGAACATCCTTGTCTTGTTCCTGATTTTAAAGGGAAAGCTTTCAGCTTCTCCCCATTAAATATGATGTTGGCTGTTGGTTTGACATGAGTGGCTGTTTGTTTGTTTGTTTGAAACAGGGTCTCACTATGCAGTTCAGGCTGGCCTTGAACTCGAAGTCCTCCTGCTTCAGTCTCCTCTGAGTTCTGGGAATACAGGTGTGTACCATCACACCTGGCTCTCATAAATGGCTTTTATCAGATTGAGATAAGGTCCTTTTATACTTATTTAGGGTTTTTAAAAAAAATTATAAGTGGAGGCTGGGAATTTAGCTCAGTGGTACCACCCCTGCCTAGAAACCTCAAGGTCCTGAGTTCAATCCCCAGTACCAAAAAAAAAAAAAGAGTGGATTTTGCTAAAGGGTTTTTTGGTATCAGTTGAGATGATCATGTGATTTTTGTCCTTGTTTCTGTTTATGTGGTTTATTGCATTTATTGATTTGTGTGTGTTGAACCATCCCTGCATACATGGGATGAATCCTACTTGGTCATGATGTATGATCTTTTCAATGATGTATTCTGTTTGCCAGAGCTTGTTGAGGATTTTTACATTGATGTTCTTTAACACGTTGCTGCCAGTTTGAACCACTGGTGGTATGTGCATGACTGTGCCACATCAGGTGGCTTGAATCACTGGTGGTTAGCTACTTAACGATGAAAGCTGGGTGGTGGCACATGCCTATAATCCTAGCATTGGGGAGGCTGAGGGAGGAGGATCACTGCGAGTTTGAGGCCACCCTGGGCTGTATAAGAAGTTCAAGACCAGCTTTAACAATATAATGAGACCCTGCCTCAAACAAAACAAAACAAAACAAAAAAATTAGACGATGGAATTGAAATCAGAGCTGGCTATCATGGCCTTGTTGGGAACATGTTAAAGAGATCGGCCTGTAGTTCTCTTTTTCATTTGGGTCCTTTTCTGGTTTTGGAATCAGGGCAGTATTAGCTTCCAGGAATGACTTTAGGAGTACTCCTTCCCTTTCAAATTCATTAAATAGTTTGAAGCGCATTGGTGTTAGATCTTCCCTAAATTCTTGTACAATTCAATTCAGGATTGAATCCATTGGAACTTGGGCTTTTCTCTCTCTTTTTTTTTTTTTTTTCTGCAACTAGGGGTTGAACCAGGGCCTTCACACTGAGCTACATTCCCAGCCCCTTTAAAAAAAGTGTTGTTTTTTGCAGTACTGGGGATCGAGTTTAGGACCTTGCAAAGATACTGAGCTACATCCCTGGCCCTGGGACTTGGGCTTTTCTTAGTTGGTAGTTTATTATTAGTAGTAGTATTAGTATTAGTATTAGTATTACTTCTTCATTCTTATTGCCTGATATGGGATTATTCAGGGTTTTTGTGTCTTATGTCAGCTTTGGTAGTTTATATGTGTTTAGGAATTAATCCATTTCTTCTGAATTCTGCATTTTATTAGAGTACAGTTTCTCAGTGTATTTACTATTAATCTTCTGGATTTCAGCAGAGTCTGTTGTGCTTTTGCCTTTTTCATTTCTTATTGGGTTGATTTGGGTCTTCTCTTTATTTTGTTAAGGTTGGCTAAGGGTTTGTATGTATTATTTATTCTTTCAGAGAACTAGCTCCTTGATTCATTGATTCCTTTTTTTAAATTTTTAGTCTCAATTTCATTAATTTTTGCTTGTATCTTTTTAATTTCCTTCTTTGAACTGGCTTTGAATTTGGATTGTTCCTGTTTTTCTAGGACCTTGAGGTATATCACTGGGTTATGTACTTGGGCTCGCTCTGTATTTCTAATGTGGGCATTCACAGCTAGCAACTTTCCTCAAAGGACTGCTTTCACTGTATCCCATAGGTCCCAGTATGTTGTACTGGCATTACCATTTGATTAGGAACTGTCTAATTTCTTCTGTGACCCATTGATTATTCAAGAGGGTATTGTTTAATTTCCATGGATTTGTATAATTTCTGATTTCTTTTGCCATTGATTTCTAGTTTCATTGCACTGTGATCTGATACTATGCATGGGATAATTTTGATTCTTTTGCTTATACTTAAGAATGCTTTATGGAGTAATAGGGTCTTTTGGAGAACGTTGCATGTGCTGCTGCGAAGAATGTGTATTCCGTTATTGGGTTATGATATGTTTTTTTTTTAAACAGTGTCTTGATAATGTAGTTCAGGCTGACCTTGAACTCACTATTTAGCCCAGGCTGATCTACTCACTGCAGTCCTGCCTCAGCTTCCTGAGTGAGTGCTGGGATCACAGGTGTGTACCACCATGCCCGGCTTAGATATCTTTTATAAAGTCCATTTGTTTGAAGGTTTGGTTCAACTCTGATATTTCTGATATCTTAAATATTTTTTTGTGTAGTTCAGTCTGCTGTACTGCCAAAAAAATTTACCATCTTTGTCATTTTTTGTGCTTGTATGAGGTGCCAATTCTGTCGATGAGCATCATTCCATCCCTGGGAGGAATGTGTCTGTTTTCATATTGTGAATTTATGGCTGAACTCAATTCATTTTCATTTTAAAACATTTTAGGTGGTTTCATGGTCACCTCTCTGGGAAAGAAGCAGAGAAATTACTAACCGAGAAGGGAAAACATGGTAGCTTTCTTGTCCGAGAGAGCCAGAGCCACCCTGGAGATTTTGTTCTCTCTGTCCGCACGGGTGATGACAAAGGGGAGAGCAATGATGGCAAATCTAAAGTGACCCACGTCATGATCCGCTGCCAGGTAAAGCCCCAGTCCAACGACGGGTTGGGGAAATGTATCCCTGGGTGTTTTTTTTGCAAAGGGAAGACAGACGCTTTTACATCCAAAATCAGATTCTCTGTGTTCGTTTAGCCAAAGCCTTGTACTTTTTTAGTATGCTGTTTATTGGGATTGTTTCATCATATTAGAACTCTGAAGTGTTTTATCTCCAGTCTGTGCTGGCAGATGAACTTGTGCCTCAGTGTATGGCCTCTGCCTTGCAGTGTTTATTCTGCTTCTGCGGCACGGCTGCTGGAGTTGCCTCTGGGTCTCCATTTCTACAGAGCTGGCCACAGCTCATCCTTAGGATTGTCACAGTCTGGCCTGGCACTGAACACGTGGCCCTTCGTATCTGTGGGTGCTGCATCTGCAGATTCACCTACTGGGAGCAGAAAGTATTTGGGAAAAGCAATTGTTTCTGTACTGAACATGTACGGACTTGTTTTGGTCATCGTTCCCTAAACAGTGTTGAATAACAACTCTTTATGTAACATTTACATTCTATTATGGAGGGCTCTGTATATTAGGTATTAGAAGTCATCTAGACATGATTGAAAGCATGCAGGAGGTGTGTAGGTGATATGCAAATACTGTGCCATTTCACTTTATTTTATTCCCCTTTTTGGTGCTGGGGTTGAACACAGGACCTTGTGCTTTCTGAGCACAAACCCTATACCCCTAGACCCCCTTTTTGTTTTGTTTTGAGTCTCTCCCTGTCGCTTCCTTCCCTATGTACTACTACAGCTGTCTGATCTATTTTTAAAAAAGAGCCAGTCTTTGAGTTTCAAATGGAAAAAAGTTACTTTAGTTTTTTACAGTTAGGCTAATTAATATAGCCATGCATAGTTGCTTTTTATTTTATTTTTTTTGAGTGAAAACACTTGAGATCTACTCTTAGCAAGTTTCAAGTGTACAAGACATTGTTGTTAACATAGTCATCACGTGGTACATCAGGTCTCAAGACCTTGTTCATCATAGTGAAAGTTTGGTACCTTCTGACAAGTATCTCCCCTTTTTCTTACCTGAAAGTCTCTGATAACTGCCATTAGGCTCTGTTGCTCTGAGTTTGATTTTTATCTTTCCAGATTTCACATAAGGGTAAAATTGTGGAGTATTTGTCTTTCTGTGCCTGGCTTATTTCACTTAACATAATATCCTTCAGGCTCACCCAGGTTGCAAATGATAGCATTTCCTTGCTGTTTTTTAAACTAGTATTCCATTGTGATTATATTATATTCCCTTCCATTATATATAGAGTACTCTCCCCCATTTTCATTATTCCTCTGCATACGGACACAGGTTGTTTGTATATACTGGATATTGTGAATAATGTGATCATGCAAAGCAGTGTGGAACAACCAGTGATTAATGTAAAGGTAATAACTATTATCTTTTTACCCTGGAAGGAACTGAAATATGATGTTGGTGGAGGAGAACGGTTTGATTCCTTGACAGATCTGGTGGAGCATTACAAGAAGAATCCGATGGTAGAAACATTGGGCACAGTACTCCAACTCAAGCAGGTGAGCATGTTGGTGAACTAAAAGCTCCTCAGAATTGAAAAAATGCTAATATTAAAAATAAATTCTAAGAATTTTCCAAACATACAGAGCGTGTCAGTCAGCTTTTATCACTGCAACAAGATACCTGGGAGGGGGGCCGGGGATTTAGCTCAGTGGTTCTGGCGCCTGCCTCACAAGCACAAGGACCCGAGTTCAATCCCTGGTACCAAAAAATAAGATAACTGGGAGAATCAGCTGAATAAGGAAAGAGGTTTATTCCGGCTCTGGGTTTCAGAGGCCTCAGTTCATGGCCTCAGATCTGTGGCCTTGGGCCTCTGGTGGCACTGTGCATTATGGCAGGAGAGCATGGAGGAGGGGCCTGTGCCCCTTATGGTGGCAAGAAAGCAAAGAGGCACAGAAAGAGTATGCACACAATTTCCCTACCCCCCCCCCCACTATGGCCCGCCTATGAGAGTGTCTCCCACATCCCAGTAGGGCCATGGGCTGAGGACCAAGCCTTCAGCGCATGGGCTCTGGGGACATTCAAGATCTATAGTATACCACAGAAGTAGACAGCATCAATTTTCATGTGCCCTCACCTATCTTCAGTTAGGATCAACTCTTCAGATCTTTGTTACTCCACTCACTGTTACCTCCTGCGGTATTTATGGCTTGTGTTTGTTTGTTTGTTTTTTGGTACCAGGGATTGAACTTGGGACCTTGCGCAGCGGAACCACTTAGCTAAATCCCTGGCCCTCTTTGTTTATTTTTTTGAGACAGAGTCTCACTTTGTAGTTTAGGCTGGCCTTGAACTCACTCTGTATTCCAGGCTGGCTTTGGAACTTGTGGCGATCCTCCTGCCTCAGCCTCCCGAGTGCTGGGATTACAGGTGTATGTGTTCCTCTTGTGATATTTAGAAACAAGTTGCAGATGTTATATCAGGTCCATGTGTATCTATAAAAGTCCTTGAAGACTTAGTTTTTTGTTTTTGTTTCTTTTGGTGTTGGGGATCAAACCAAAGACCTTTTGCCTGCTAAACGTGTGCTCTACCACCGAGCTGTTCCCCCAGGCTCCTTACAGAGTTGTGAGTGTTTTGTTTTGTTTTGTTTTGAGATAGGGTCTCAATATGTAGTCAAAGCTGCCCTCAAACTTGCAGTCCTCCTGCCTCAGCCTCCCAGGTGCCGGGATTACAGGTGTGTCCCACCATAGCCAGCTCTCCTTATAGTTTTTTTTTTTTTAATTCATTTGTTTGTTTTGTACCAGGGGTCAAACTCAGGACCTTGTGTTTGCCAGCTGAGCATTGTGCCACTGAGCTAATTTCCCAGCCCTCCTTACAGAGTTTTAAAAGAAAATTTTCACTTTAGGTCCACCTTTGGTTAGTTACTTTAAGTGTTCACACTTACTCACTTTAGAGTTGTTATTCCAAAGTGTACTTTTTTGACGGTAGCAGTTTCATTCCTAAATCACATTGTGTTCTGTTCATAAGGAAAAACAGGTGAATTTATATTAGCGAGGAAAGTATGTGTGAAGATTAAAGAAAGGTATATAGTATTTCTCAGCAGAGCAGAGAAGAAAGTGCAACTGTGTTTGAAAACTTCTATTGTGAATCACTGTGTCCTATGAATCTCCTGCGTTGGCTTTTGTGAATACAAACATAGAAGTCTTTTTCCCTCTGCGTTAACACTGTTCTAAAAAGCATTTTCTTCCTTTTCCACCACCTGCTGCACTTGGGCAGCCCCTCAACACAACTCGTATCAATGCTGCTGAAATTGAAAGTCGGGTTCGAGAATTGAGCAAATTAGCCGAGACCACAGATAAAGTCAAACAAGGCTTCTGGGAAGAATTTGAGGTAGGTTATGAAGAAATTGTTTGTATGTGAAGTATGAAATCTGTTTTTAATGGCAGAGACGTTGGCCTTATGTTTGGACTTGGATCTGAAAGACCTGACATCCTTTCTTAATTCAGCCATTGATTGACATGGACCGAGCTGCCAAGGGAGCTTCTTTGGAATAGAAGAGCATTGTGTTCTCAGGCGAGGAGTTGGCAATGAGCGCTGACTGGATGACCTAACAGCTCCATTTGGCTCTTTTGGTTTGAACCGCTGGCAAAACCCCAGAAAAACGAAAAGACCTAGTTTTTCTGGAAGATTTCCCAGCATTCACTGGGTCTTTAGAAAGATGCAATAGCGTTATTGCAGCGAAAGAGTCAAAGAGAAATACCTCCCGTTTGCTTTCATTTGGGAGTTCAGACTGACAGCTGTGGGAAGTTTGGCAGACTGGTTCCTCTCCTGACACCTACTTGGGTAGGAGTGTGTCCCTGATGAAGATGACTCCTTACATGTTCCTCACCCATCGGTGCTGCAGCCGCTTTCTAGTTGAGAGAGGGAGAACGGTGATGCAAAGCTGCATTGAAAAAGCACTGAGTCAGAATTTTTATTTTACTTTTTCAGTGTTAGGGAAGGAACCCAGGGCATCATGCATACTGACTGTTTGCTCTGCCACTGAGCTACACCCCCAGCCCTCCCAGTTATTTTAATACTTTGGAGATGTTTAGTCAAATTGCTACTCTGCCTTCTACTCATTTGTAATCGTCCCCTATGTGGTCATTCACTAACTGGACTTCATCTGAGCCTATTTGTTGCACTTTACATTTGAATTTTAGAAATGTATTTCTGTTATGTTTTATTTATAATTATATAAAATACTGAGTTTGATTTTCAAGTCTGAAAAACAGATGTTGAAAGGTTTGCCTCCTATCATTGTTCCTTCCTTCCTGTATTTTTGCTACAGTTTAAAAAGTTATGGTTTATCATTACATTTTCAAAATGTAAGCAAGTAGGTATATAGTTCTCTTTCTCTACATATATATATATATGTGTATATATATACACACACATACACACACACACACACACACATATACTTTTTCTGAGATCAACAGTGGTGTTGCTTGATGTACCTTTTTCTGGCCTTGCTTTTTGTCAACACCTTAGACACCACTCCATTGTGACATGCAGAGACAGCCTTCATTTTATTTTTGCTACTGCATAGTACTCTGTTGTACAGTTGCACCATCATTTGTGCAACTTATTGATGAGCACTTGGATAGTTTCCAGATGTATTGCAGAGAGGATTATAGTGCATGACCTTGTGAATGCATCTTTCCTAGTTTTGCCAACCACTTTTTTCTTGCTTGCTTTTTTTTTTTTTGGTACTGGGGATCAAACTCAGGACCTTGCGCTTTCGAGGCAGGTGGCAGAACCACTGAGCTAAATCCCTAGCCCTCTTTCTGGCCTTTTGAGATGGGGTCTCACTGTGTAGTTCAATCCTTGTGGTCACTATGTAGCCCAGGCTGGTCTTGAACTCATGTTGATTCTCCTGCCTCAGCCTCCCAAGTGCTGGGATTATAGGTGTGTGCTACCATGCCTACCTTGCTGACCACTCTTTTTTTTTTGAGACAGGGTCTCGCTGGGTAGTTTAGGCTGGGGTTGAACTCAGTATGTATCCCAGGCTGCCCTCAAACTCACAGCAATCCTGTCTCAGCTTCCCAAGTGCTAGGATTATAGGCATGCACCACCATGCCCGGCCTGACAGCTCTTAATAATAACATTTTTAAACACTTTTTTATATTCCTTGTTAAAGTAATGATGCTTGTTACTCATTCTTTCATTATATACATGATTTTGGTTGGCATATGTAACATCTGAGAAATACTGTTTTTAAAATTTTGGCTAAGGAAGAATTTGGAGCCATTTTGTAACTGAGGACCACCCCCCCCCAATAGTGAGGAGTGAATCTGGGCCTTCACCCTGAATTGTATCCTTAGCCTTTAAAATTTTTTCTTGTTTTTTTTGATCTTTTTAAAATTTTGTTTTGTTTTTTTGGTACCAGGGATTGAACTTGGGTCCTTGCGCTTGTGTGGCAGGTCGTGAAACCACTGAGCTAAATCCCTGGCCTGCCTTTTTTTTTTTTTTTTTTTGGTACTGGGGATGGAACTTGGGTCCTTCCGCTTGTGAGGCAGGCGGTGGAACCACTGAGCTAAATCCCTAGCTCTTGTTTTTTATTTTTATTTTTTGGTACCAGGGATCGAACTCGGGACCTTGTGCTTACGAGGCACGCGTAACAACCACTGAGCTAAATCCCTGGCCCTTAAAAATTTTTTTTGAGACAGGATTTCATTAAGTTTCTGAGTTGCCCAGGCTGAGCTCAAACTTGTAATCCTTCTGCTTCAGCCTGTCAGAGTGCTGGGATTACATGTATGTGCAACTGTACCCAGCTTCTAGACCTATTTTTAGTTATATATTTTTAAATTTTTAAAAAGTTTCATCAGTATATGTTTGCAGTACATAATGATTATATTCATCATAAACCTATTTTTCATTTTATACTTCCTTTTAAAAATAATAGCAGGGAGCATGGTGATGCAGGCCTGTAATCCCAGCACTTGGGAGGCCGAGGAAGGAGGATCACCTTGAGTTCGAGGCCAGCCTGGGCTACATAGTGAGTTCAAGGTCAGCCTGAACTGCATGGTGAGACCCTGTCTCAAAAAACGAAAAACAGCAGGTCTGGTGATGTAGCTCAGAAGTACAGTATTTGCCTAGCATGCACAAGGCTCTGGGTTCTACCCCCTAGTACTGCAAAAAAAAAATCTATATAGCTGAGCTGGACATGATGGTGCACAGCTGTGGTCTAAGGTACTCAGGAGGCTGAGGCAGGAGGATTGCTTGAGCTCAGGAGTTTGAGGCCAGCCTGGACAATGTAGAAAGACCCTGTCCCAAACAAACAAGCAAATAGAAAGATAGCCAAAGTGATCATGTGCATGAATGACTTTTCCTTTAAAGTGATGATAAAGTTAAAAAATTAGAGCAGTGAGGTGGATATTGTTTTAAAAATTATAGTATTTTTATTATATATTGATTGATTGAACTCAGGGAGTGCTGAACTATATTCTTAGCCCCCCCCCGGGCCCCCTTTTTGAGACAGGATCTCACTAAGTTGCCCAGGCTGGTCTTGAACTTTTGATCTTGCTGCCCCAGCCTCCTGAGTAGCTGGGATTTCAGGTGTGGGCCACCATGCTTGGCCCAAAATTAATAGCATTTTTAAAAACTAAAAACTACATTTAGGAAAATAAAAAATTACATGGTGCTTGGTACAGTGATGGATTTTTTAACACCAGGTTCATTGAGAATAGTGCTTAGCAAAGCCAGTTCAAAACTTTCCAAGGAGCTTGTAGTAGTGGGTTTTTTTTGAAACAGGGTCTAGCTCTGTAGTCCAGGCTGGCCTCAGACTCACAGCATTTCTCCGGCCTCAGACTCACAGCATTCCTCCTGCCTCAGCCTCCCGAGTGCTGGGATTGCAGGTGTGTGTCATCCCCAGCTAGGCAGTGGGCTTTTTCATAATCCAGTTGGTGGGTTAAGATGTGAGCTCGCTTACTCTTCTGGCCGTGGAAAAAGATGGCGATTAGATGCTGACCTGATGGTTTTAATCTGTGACACGTCATGTTTGGTCCACCTGTCCTACACCATTAACAACAAAAATCAGGAAGAATTGAGTTGGCCTGGGGAAAATGGAAAACAGTGAGCTCACATCTCTACATGCTCTCTGTAGAGGTCACACTGCAGTGGTAAAATTGTCGCACACTAAATCAGGGCATTAAGGCTTCATGGCTATGGAAAGTCTTTCTGAAGAGCTTTCTGGAGCTCTGCCATATCTGTTTCTCCAGTTCAGTCAGCTTTAAAATATGGCCCTTTAAGGCAGGAGCCAGGGGAATAAGGCTGAGAACAGAACAAACCATCTTAGAAAAAAATCAAATACTTGTTATAATTTAAACCCCTTGGAACTGAAGTTTGATCCACAACGGGAAGGCATTATTATGTTAGTGATTGTGCCTTGGTAGTTTCTGCAAAGGTGATAAATTTGGGATCACACCTTTCTCACAGTATGGTCTGAATCTTTAGAGCAAACCCGAGCTCTAAATTTCCATGTCGTTGGTACTTTAATTCTGGCAACCTTTTTTTTGTCTCCATGTCCAGTGCCTGGTTTTATGTTAATCTTTTCATTTGAGGTATATTTTCCCAGAGGACATTTATAAATTGCTTTTGCTTTGGACACATCTTAAAATCTGATGCCCTTGGGGCTGGGATGTAGCTCAGTGGTTCTGCCGCCTGCCTTGTAAGCACAAGGTCCCAAGTTCTATCCCCCATACCAAAAAAAAAAAAATCTGACACCCTTTGTGCAGCTCTTTGGTTCTGTTCTCCTTTGGTGCAGAAATGAATTCAGGCTGATGATTTCTTTCTAGGATATATTGTACGATCAAGACTGTGGGAATGCAGGTAAAGTTACAATGTAACTGAAAGTATTTGATACATTATTGTCTCTGTCTAGCTCTATTCCATGGTAAGACAGAGATGCTTGGTCTCAAACATTTTTTTTTTTTTTTGGTATGGGGGATTGAACTCGGGTCCTTGTGCTTGCTCAAACATTTTTTCTTGATGGGCTGGGGATTTAGCTCAGTGGTTCCAGTGCCTGCCTTGCAAGCGGAAGGTCCTGAGTTCAATCCTGAGTACCAGAAAAAAAAAAACAACTTTGTGGGTCTGGGGATTTAGCTCAGTGGCACTGTGCCTGCCTCACAAGCCCAAGGCCCTGAGTTTGATTCCCAGTACCAAAAATAAAAAAAAGACTTTGTGAACCGAGGTCTGAATTTTCTTGATGTTTGCCTGGTGTTTGTGTAATCATCTTGTATCTCTTGCATATCTCTGCTTATGAACATAAAAAAGTGACTAATGAGCCAGGCGCATGCCTATACTCCCAGCTAGCTACTCAGGAGGCTGAGGCAGGAGGATCATAAGTT